TTGGATAGAGGAAGATTTTGCAATTTAGTAAGAAGGATGTTATGGTCAACTGTATCAAACGCTTTGGGAAAATCTAGAAGGATGAGGATAGTAAGGTTTTGGTGTTCAATGACCTGAGTTTTGGAGGTCATGGATTATTTTAAGGAAGGATATGATAAAGTACTGCAATAAGGGTAGGAAGGCAGGATTTTATTAGTTTTACTGGAATATTGGCAGGACCATAATCATTGGTGTAGGATTTTAGGATAGTGGAAAGTACTTCGTCGTAGAACACATGGGAAAAAAAGAAGTTTTCAGGATTGAAATTGTGTTCAATATCATGAGTAGGAGAAGGATTAGAAGAAAAAGATATGAAATGATCATTAAGATCATCTGGAGTCACAGGGAGGTAAACGAGGTCAGTGGAATCTGGTTGGGATAGATTACGAAGTATTTTCCATTTTGATTTGGAATCGGGAGCATTTATGGAAGTAGTTGGATTTAGCAAGTCAGATTGTGGATTGGGTCACATTGCGAAGTTGTTTGAAAGACGCATAATCAGCAGGTAAACGGGTTGGACAGTATTTGCGCCTTGCTGCATTCCTTCTCTTTATCGTCCCCTTTATTTCAGGAGTCAGCCAAGGAGCAGTGGGACGACGTACGATTCTGGTTTTCAGAGGAGCATGTATATCTAAGATTGTAGGTTTGAGGTAAGGATGGATATCATAGGGTCAATGGAGGTATAGGAAAATATGGTATCTCATTGGACAGAATCAAGGTCAGGTTGAAGGGATTCGTATGAAAGGATGTTTAAATTGTGATGACACTATTTGGGGAGTAAATGATTTCACGGGTTGGTCTTACGAAATTTGAATCAGGTCGTGTGATGATAGAAAGGCTATGGGATGTTGAAAGGAGGAAAGAATTTTAATGGGTGAGTCAGAGATGTGGAGGTCCAACCAGGTGTCAGAGAACTGAGTGTGATGAATGGGAGAATAAGGGACAAGGTATAGATTAAGAGAAAATATTAGGTCAGTGAGGAAGTATTTGTCGGGAGATTCTGAGAGCATATTCACATTAAAATCGCTGGAGATGATGACATTGGAGTAGAAGGAAACCAAGTTGACAAGGGAGGATTCAAAGAGTTGGTCAAATAGAACACGAGGAGGGCGGTAGACAACAACATACAATAGAGGTAATTTCAACAAATAAATATTCAATGTGAGGGAGGTCATGAAAAGGAGACTGTAAGAGGATTTTGGCCTTGAGACTATTATGTACATATAGTTCGACACCACCCCCCGTGCGATCAGATTTACTATGACGTAGGAAACAATAATTGGGGAGGATAATTTGGGATGAAGGAATAAAAGGTTTCAGATACTGCTATTGTGTGGTAAGAATTATCGAGGAAATATTTTTGGAATTCATCAAAGTGGGCATTAAGGGATTGTGCATTGACATGACAGGAATTTAGGATATTAGTCATAACTGAGATGTTGAGAAGTAGAATTGCAGAGAAAAGGATCAAGGATGGAGAATAGGATATTACAATTTTTTAACAAAAATTTCATTTTTGAGAGCAGCAAAAAATATAAGCATGTAATAATCGTTGAAAAGATAAAATAAAAATTATTGAAATTTAAAAAAAAATTGATTTATAGAATTAAAATAAATTGAAAGAAAAAAACAAATAGTTCAATAAAATTTTAGCTCGTTAGTACTAAAATGACAGTAGAAAATAATATTTTTAGTGAGAAAAGGTAAAATTAAAACAAACTTTGGGAAATATAAATACAAAATTCAACTAAAAACGTTCAAGTCGCTAGGTTTTTCTATAATTACCACTGGATATCTGTCTGACTGTCTGCATCGAATTTTTCCGCCACTGAACCATAAATATTTTATTTTTGCTGTAATTTTTTTTTATCTAGCTAACCAGTAGAGATGTTTTTTGGCGGGGGTCATTGCTTTGTTGGTGCATATTTGCACCACCGGTGCGAATAGTTATCTCCCGAGCCTCCTAGATGGCGTGTAGAGATAAATAGGTTCTTAAATTTCCTGAAAACATCCATTTATGCATTCATTAGATTTATTCTTGTTCCTTCAGGTCCAATGAATGCTTACTTATCGAGAGCTTTTATCTTGACACACAAAAGACAAAAAGAGAAAAATACATCTCTGAACATTTTATTTATTTACACAAACAAGATCTGTTATTAAAATATTTACAATGTAATCTACCAAAATTATTAACAAACATGATGAGTATATTAGGAACAATAAATAACTTGGGAAAATAATTTAACTATTCTTATAAAGATAAATATGTGCTAACATAAACTTTAGACTAAAAATATGAAAAAAAAAAATAATAATAATTAACCGCTCCATCCTCCCCCCCAAAAATCAGCTCACTGTTGATTTTTTACTTAGATACAATAGATTAGTAACCCTTAGTGTCTAGGAGATCATTTTAATTACATGCCAAACTGTAAAACACTAATGATATGTTTTTAGAGGTAAAAAAGGTAAATGTATTTATATACACAGACACAAGGTACACTAAGTATCTAGCATTTTGAAATGTATTTGCAACATTTCCAAAACATATTGTCATACAAATTCTACCACTACCTCACTCAAATTTAGGCAAAAATGAGGAAGTGAGTTAACTGGATTAGTTTCATTTCCCACCTTCCCCTCCCCCATTGAATGGTAACCATGGATATGTCGAGCATATATATCCTAGAAATTTTGAGGTTCTTATATGCTATAAATTATAAAGTCATGAGAATTGTGTTAGATGGTATTAGAAATATGACAATATGTAAACAATCTTGTAATGTTTATAAATCATTCATTTTTAATTTTTTCTATAACTTTTGTGAAACCTGTAAATAATCAAATCAAATAAAGATGATAATGTATTACACATTTCATTTAAAAATTAGTTAAATATGAAACTAGAACTTTAAAATATATTCTATTTTTCATATTTTCTTTGCCAGAAAAAAACAAAACAAAAACAAAAGACATGATAAAAATAAAATCTTTATTCTACTCAAAAGAATTCTATGATACATGTATATAAAACAAGAAAATTCAGTTTTTTTCAATTAAGATTTTATAAAGGAAGGAGATGGTCCGGGGTTGCGGTCATAAAAAGGCTAAATAGTGGTAAAACTATTTTATTGAAAGCCAACGTTTCGACCCGACTTTGCAGGTCTTATCAGGTGTGTTCAGGTTCTAAGTGAAACTCCTAGAGGAACACACCTCCCTGATGAAGACCTGCAAAGTCGGGTCGAAACGTTGGCTTTCAATAAAATAGTTTTACCACTATTTAGCCTTTTTATGACCGCAACCCCGGACCATCTCCTTCCTTTATAATGCAACGGTCAACCATTAAATATTCATTAAGATTTTGTTTGTTTTGTTTTTTCTGGCTACGAAAAGAAAGAAAATATGAAAAATAATATAAAAAATAATATAAGAAGAAGTTAAAACAGAAGATGAACATTGAAAATTGTGGTACATTAATTATGACTCCAACCTAATTACTGAAATTAATGATAAATATGTCAAGAGAACAGTTCATTATAGACAAATTGTAGCTTAAGTGATTTCTTTTGAAAACGTTTTATCACAGAGGTCTTCTCATCAAGATACGGTAAGTCTCATCTTATAATAATTCTGCAAATAGTATCTGCACCTAGAAAATAAATAAAATTATATAACAAAACTAAAAACAATCAGAATAAAAACTAAATTGTATTTAAAACTGCTTAATTTTACACTGATATGATGAATTTAATCAAAATCATTGGAGCCATTTTTGGGAAAATCGTAAAAATGTGTTTACTCTATTATATAAAGTGCCACTTCTGGTTAGCTGATTTTGACGAATAAGTTGCTGTAACATCCTTAGTATATAAAAGCCTTAAATATAAACACACACACACAGACCATTTTGCGGGACTTCGTTATTTGGACTCAGGGAATCTCAAAACTTGTATTTCTGTTGAAAACTGAGAATCAAAAATTTTCACGATCGCAATACTTTCCTTTACTATATATTTCACGTTTAGGAGGTGAAAGTAATAACAAAGAACTACACATGGTGATGTATTTGGAGTGAGTGAATGAGTACAGGAGCAGGATTAGCTGTAAATAAAATATTTCAAAATATTCCAAAACTGTTGATAAGGTGTTCAGTGGTTTGCTGAATTCCATGGCAATGTTGCTGTTTTGATTCATACTATCTATCTACTGCATTGATAACCTTATGTTTTCATTTTCATCATTCAAAAACATATAAAGAGAAAAAAAATCGAGCAACATTTCAAGTGAAGGACTGAGGAACTGAGAAGAAGAGAAGCCATTTAACTGAGAATGTGTCAACTTGGAATTATAGAACTCATCAATTCTAAACTTCAACTTTAAATTATTTACTGAAGTCTTAAATTGCTCCTAAACACACAGACAATTCATCTAATTGAGATTTTTGTTTTGAAATATTTGACTGAAAAGTAACCAACTGTTGGTTAATAGAACATATAGCTTCTGACCATAGTAGTAAAAGAAAATCAACAATAATCTAATTATAATTGGTAAATGGTTGACTGTCGTAGATAATGAAGAGAAGAATAGTTGGGATGGTCAGTCAAAAAAGAAGGCAAAAATAAATGATGGCATAAGTAAAAATAAATATTGTCATTTATTTTTGCCTTCTTTTTTGACTGAGCACCCCAACTATTCTTCTCTTCAATAATCTAATTATATCTTGACATAATAGAAGTAATATAGAAGTAGACAAAAGGAGGATTTCAAAATAATCAAGTTATTGAGAGCCAACTGTCCTAGAATAATAATTTTAAAATACCATAGTTTACCTTGGAAGAGATGAATTGAGAAATCCTCCTCTCCAAATCCTCATCATGGTTTTTGGCTACAATCAAACAGTAAATGTTTATCAATTAATAATTCTGTATTAATTTTATTGAAATGGAATCAGATAATAACTACAACCCACCTTTATCGGTTATTAAATCTTGAGAAGTGAGACCTGTAACAATGGAATGATTATGTTAGTTGAAAATTAAAGAGATTAGTTTTATTGCATTTGAGGAAGGCTGAGTAAGCTTGTTTCTTTCTTTCCTCAAGTATATAACATTTGTAATCGATCAAATCGTGTTATCAAATTTTAGCACACTTCCAATTATCCATCCAATCAAGATGAAATTTGTTACAAATACAAACGAGATGACAATCTGTACAATGGCGTAGTTGTCAAAAATTGGCACGAACCCATCTTATGAACCTGATAACTATTCTTTATGATCTTAAATAATAATAAAAAGACTTAGCGAACACGAAGGTTCGATGCCGACACCACCAATCACTTATTGCACACCTCCCTCCATCGTTCGCCGTCCAAACCCAGTCCCTTCAGATCGGCTTTATTGCAATCTTCCCACCTTCGCCTCGGTCTACCCCTTGAACGCTTACCATTCGGCACAGCAAATATTAACCTTTTAGGAATTCTCTCGTTACTAAGCCCAACAACTTTACAAGCCCATTTGATTCGCCGCGATGAAATTACCTCAATTATATTACCCGGATACAGTTCACGCAATTCGGTGTTGTGTAACCGCCTGAACTCTCCGGTTTACTCATCCTTCTTTGGTCCGAATATTCTACGCAATACTTATTTTTTTATTTTATGATCCTAAAAATTAAATTTAATTCATTAAAAAAAATAAAACAGAATTAAAAAGTTTATAGAAGACTTAATCATATTTCCTTTATAAATAAATCAAAAGGCATGTTTCTTGATTTATTCTATCCTTGTTAAGTATTAGACTTAGGGCTCTCAGAATTTACTAACAACTGCCAATAAATACACATTAATTCCAATATCCTCAACGATGGGGTACTTAAATGATTTTTCAATTTTTATACATTGAAAATGATTATGTTATCAAAAGTTAAATTTTCTTTTTATAACCTAACACAATTATTTTCCTTTACAATCCATGATAATATTCATATAAACAACATTATTCCCAACAAGCGTTGAAAGTTGCTAAAAAAAATTGAATATATAAAGATTATTGATAAATAAAGGTTAGATGTACCAAGATTCTACGGGTCTTGTTTAGATTAGGTCTGCCAGTTATTTTATCTAGTAACAGTTACTTAATTACTTGATAAATTAATTAATTAATTACTTGATAAATTAAAAAATATGGGTTAAAGAAACATATAATTTATTTAATGGAAACTTTTTATACATAACCAAAACCATTAACATACACTTCATGAGTTACTCCAGGTACCTCTAGAGGCCAAAATTCTACTATGTCCTTTAGGATTTTATCAAAAACATCTTCATTTGAGTTCCTCTGTCTCCACATGAACTCACATAAATATGAGTCTAACACAGAACGATGAGTCCCACATTCCTTTTGGCCTTCACCCACATAGACTCAACTCTTTGAGTGTGAGCACCAGTTTCTTGGTCGACAAAATTTTTGGAGTGATCATTCCTTCTATCCCGCTATAGGACTTAAAAAGGTCGGACATTATAATGGAACCCAGTCTAATTGATGTTCTTATGCACTCCTTTAGGATTTCTCTTCTCCTATTGGGCACTGCGTACAAAAAACACTTTTGTGTTTCAACAAAACACACAAAAAACAGTTTCACAGATCCTGACAAACACCCATTGCTGTGGATAGGTGTGTCCTACATTATACTTTCGGTGAGAAAAACAGGACTCGTCTATCTCTATTGTCAGTCCTTTTCCTCCAATAACAATCAGATTTGTCAAGCAAACTAGCTGCACACACTTCCCACAGATAATTTTTCCAATCTACAATTGTAGCGGAGCTCATATTGAATTCTTTGGAACAGAATTTAAACGTTGTATACTCCTGTGCCCATGAGTAAATGAATAAAAGGGCTTTACTTAACGGAAATCTGCTGCCACATAGTCACGTACCCGTATATATGCCACATTCATACCGGCATTGTCTTTTGTTGCACCTATATTTTTTCCTATCTTCTTAAATTTCATAATGTGGCCTTTTTTAAATTAGCTTTTCTTAGATAGAATTTCTTTTTCTTCAAAGAAAATCCTGGCTCGTTCCTCTTCTTTGCATAAATAGTAAACTTCAAAAATATTCATTGTGTTATCACTTTATAACCACAATCACACAACAATACTAAATTAAATAATATTTAAACATGTGATTTTATTTCTATATCAATGGTATCAAGTTTTATAACAACTGTTACTAAATATCATTGGAAATCACTGGCCGTGGCTGAAAGAATGTTGGCTGTTTCTATTAACGACATTTTGAACCAAGATTTGAATTAAATTTAGCCACCAGTCATATTGGTAAAACTTGCTCCAACGATGAAGTAGAAGAAAAAATACAATGAGGATAGTAGGTAAAGAGCAAAGCCAACTAACAAGTTTTTTAATGAAGGAAACTAATCTTATAACAAAAGAATAACCTTACTTAGACAATGACCGCGTGATGGTTCTAGAAGAATTAGGCCCACAATAAATCAAATATTTTTCTCAGAAATCATACTTCATAATTAATGCTATCTGGGTGATAGTTGGCTACCTATATCTTCTACTATGTAGAAACTGGAATCGGCGAAAAATCTCAGCAGAAAAATTTAGTAAGGTATAAGTGAAAAGTGATGTAACATATTAGAAGGAACAAAGAAATCTAAGTTATTCTTTATCATCTCCTCACTCTATTTATGCTGCGCACACTGAAAGACAAGTGCTTGCCGATCTGATAAATTATAAACAACAATAACTTTTGTTAATTGAACCTTTATAATGTTGCTTATCAGCTACAGTTAAATAAAATAATAATATTAATCAGACCTGTTTCATCGTTTTGATCCATATCTGTTGACCAACTTTCCTCCATGTTATCCTCTTTATTATCTGATTTAACACTACCATCAGAATCACTAGAACAAATAAAACTAATGATATTAACAAAGATTCAACAGTTTAATTAATTGAAAAATGAGTGCATGAGCTATTGCTAATTCAAAAGTATCAGAGCCAACGAATATTAAAAAATAAGATACTCCTTAAATAGCCAGTCATGATGAAACCTCCCTTGTTATTTAATGTTGCATCACATAACTTCCCTTCTTTTCTCGAGTTATTGCATAGTATATTTTTGTTCCATTAGTGTGATTTTCGTCAAATTATGGAGATGTCAAATTATATTACATTGTGGGAGAATTGACGTCTTCAGAAGAAGAGGCTATAAAATATTTTCAAGACACCGGGATAATTGTTTTGTTATTATTACATTTGTTTTTGTCTATTTAATATATGTTGTAAAATAAAAGTATTTAACCAAACTGTTTTGTTATTATTGCATTTCTTTTCGTCTATTTAATACATATAGGAATTATATATGTCGTCTATTTAATATATATATTTTTTTATTATTAAAATTGTTTTTTTGAATATTTAATAGTTGACCATTGTATTATTAAGAAAGGAGATGGTCCGGGGTGGTGGTCATAAATAAGCTAAATAGTGGCAAAACTATTTTATTTAAAGCCAAAGTTTCTTTGTAGGTCTTCTTCAGCGAGGTGATGAGTTCTGTGATAAGTTCTAAGTGGACCCTCTAGCTGAACATATCTCCCTAAAGAAGACCTGCAAAGTCGGGTCGAAACGTTGGCTTTAAATAAAATAGTTTTGCCACTATTTAGCCTATTTATGACCGCCACCCAGGACCTTCCCCTCCCTTTAAATTTGTTTTTGTTTACAATTTCAACAGTATGAATATAATACAATATGAATGAGAAGATAGGAATTCTCACTGCCTTATCAGAATTATCAGTGTTAAGGTTATAAGCATGGCGATAGCAGTCGGACCCATCCGGCTATTTAAGTACCAAAAATAATATGTCATTTCCATAACTTATCTTATCATATCTATAATATATCATAACCATACAATACTTATCTGTCCCACCAAAAATTTGAAGAACTTTAAAAGAAATTCAACGAATTAAAAATGATACACCCGAAACAACACAAATTGGAAAAATGAAAACATTCTAAAAAAGAGAGTAAACAAAATCTTTATTCCAATTGCAAAAAAAATAACTGATGATTTCTTTAAGATCATGCTTATATGCTAAGGTTAATAAAACTCAAATTAATAATGATCAACTAAAGGTAAAATGAAAATGAAGCGTAACACACAACAAATTGTGACAATAAGTATAAACAATAAGAAATGTTTACATGTTTTATAATTTTTTTATTTAAACAAAAACATGTAAAATCAATCATATAAAGTGGTAGTTTTTTATATAAGCTGCGGCCATTCAATCAATTTTACAGAAAAAGCTGGTGCTATATACAATTCCAGTCTTGCACGATGATCTAGGCCATTTTGGCAGGCCAACTTGAATTCAAAATCACAATCCTATATAAAGTAAGTAAAATTAAAAAAAAAAAAAAGTATCAACTACTAACAAATCATGTTCCTTTTCTGCTTCCAAGATTCTTTTTATAAAGTCTTTCTGCTTCCTTTTAGCAGCTCTCTCCAATCTGGTCTTTTTTGTATCGCTAAGATTCACATTTAAAATCTTCTCCGGTTTTAAGTTCAGTGAAGGAATACCTAAAAGAAATCATAAGAGACTTGATTTTGAACCGATAAGTATAACAATAATCACTGGAATCAGTCCTATAAAATTAATTTGGTAGATAGATGATGTATATGTAACTGTGTAATATAAAGATAGGTTTGAAACAGGGAAGTTTAAGCTGATTGTTAAATGTAATCATTTATTACACAGGCTGAAGATTCTGTTTTATAATATGAATCATTAACTAATTTATTTATGTAAGTTTTAGTGTTCATTTTAAACTGTGTTATTTTTAGAATAAAAAATCTGCTGCAAACATCACACAACTTTCACTTACCAACTTGAGAATAGCTAGATATTATACAGAAATCAAATAGAGAAGTCAAAGTGAAAATGCCGCTATAACTTCAATTAAAATAATTAATTACCATGTTTCCATTCTCTCCATCCAATCTGTTAATTGTATACATTTGCATCACTTCCCATTTTAATTTAAGACTGTGTATATTATAAAAAAATTCAAATGAGTATGAACAAAAATAGATCTTTTGGAAAATTCTGAGTTTTATCGGAAACATTTATCACGAAACTCGTCGAAAAAATAACTTAACGTTAGTAAATATTGTATATTATTAGGTTTATATTGGTAGATCCTCAACATTTCGCATGAAAACCTTTTTAAAAAAACTATGGATAGGTTTTATATATAAATGTTAAACTAAAAATATGAAAGCCTTGTACAGAGTGCTATCGGGTATCTGTAAAGAGAGAGGATCAGCAAAGATCAGACGCTCTCGGCTATTTCCATATAGCTTTCAACCCTTATTTCTCCTTTAGTTACAAATCAATTTTCTCCATTCTTTAAATTTAACAATTTTTTAAATCAGATACCAATGTGAAATGGTTAATTATTTAATATAAAAAAAATGAAAGGTACTTTAGAGGAAGAAATCTTGAAAAATAGTCATTTAGACAATGTTAGAGAACATAAAAAAAAAAAAAGATCTAAATTTCAATAAAAACTGCATAATTATACACCGATATAATGAATTTAATCAAAAGTGTTAAAGCTATTTTTGAGAAAAGTGTAAAAATGTATAAAATCACATTGCAGGACTTGGTTATTTAGACTCAGTGGATCTCAAAACATGAATTTCTGTTGAAAATTTTCATGATCGCAATACTTCCAATTAAAGTAAAAAATCAGTTTAATATCATTAAATTTTTAGAAAAGAGACCAAAAAATTAAATCAGCCTTCTTTATTCTTTATCTTCAATCTACAGACTTAATATCCATTCTCAATGCACTGTACATAATCGGTTAAACCTTCAAATATGTTTCAAATCCATCTTAACTCAAAATGTAAATAAACCAGGCGAGCTCACTTTGGTATCAAAACCTACTTGACATATTTTTCCGATGTTACTGGTCTTCTTAATAAATTGATTTCATGAACATTTTCCATCTGTTAAGTCAAAATTTGATCAAATTATCCAAAACTATAAGGACTTTAGAAATAATTAAGTAATCATTCATAACTAATAATTTCTTAATTTTAGATAAAATTTGTAATGAATGTCGCTCAATAACATAAAAGACTATCGATATTAAGTTTATAGCTTGACTCTTATGGTATGCTAAATTAAGTGGACTAATAATTTTTATTTTATAATATTTATATCAAAAGTCTCCAGTTTAGTTGTTTAGATGCAAAAGTAAATCAAGATAAAAAAACTTACAATCACGTTTCAATATTTTTGGAAGTCGATCTTGAATCATTGCTTCTATTGCATCTTCAAAATCATCAGGTTTGAAATGCTTACTGCAAATTCTTTTGTTGATTGGATTAAATTTTTCGGATCGAGAACATCTCTTCACCCATTCCCTTCGTAACTTAACATCTTTTGGAAATGTAAAAAACCGCACGTTATCACCCAACTTTTTTGAAATGATAGCATTGCTCTTACACATTGCTACACTGCAGATACTTCCAGGCATCTGAAATAAAAAAATTAATAAAAGTAAGGAATACAAGAATCACAAAACTTGAGGCAGATATATACAATAATTAGTTATAACTAAAATTAATAAAAGTAAGGAATACAAGAATCACAAAACTTGAGGCAGATATATACAATAATTAGTTTTAAACTAAATTTGACTGTGGAAATTAAATTATAATGCTACTGCTGTCAGACGACATTATTATGCTAAGTAAGTTGTGGTGCAGCAACCACTAAATTTCAGATATTGGAAAAGTATCACACCTAAAATTCACTGTTTCTAAACCCCAAAAAGTCAAAAGTCCTGGCATGTCATAAGTCACCACTAATGAAAAAATTGAAGACCCTGTTTTGGCAAAATAAACCCCTGCAATTTATAAAATGTTATAATTATTTTAGTGTCCCTTTTTCAACAAGAGGAAAATTTTCTAAGGCTGCTGTCCACATCACTCAGAGATCAAATGTTGCAGGAAAAAGATATGAGAGATTTTAATAAGAGCGATGATTGGAAAATGAAAATGTCTCTCTTCGATGCAATACTGTCTTCGACACTTTTGTATGCAGATGAAGTTTGGAGTCTAGGATATTTGGAAACTAATAAGATAATACAGGGGAAAATTTTTTCAAGCACTATTTCATTCATTGAGATTGACTCCTGATTACTTCATCAGATTAGAAACTGGTCGCTCACCAATTTTGATAACAGTTTTAAAAAAAATTGTAAATGGGCAAACCGCCTCAAATGTTGTCAATAGGTGATTTAAAAAAATATATATATAATGAATACAATTTTTTTTATATTTAATGGTTGATCCTGTATATAAAGAGGGAAGAAATTATCATAACTTCTAGTAGAGTAAACTTTTATAGTGAACCTATGATTTACCCATTAAACACGTCTTCATCTTGGTTAAAATGAATAAGATACAAACTCAATTAATCAATAAATTAAAAATGAAAAAGGGCATAAAAACATAAAAATTGATAACAATACACAGGATGTCTCAATTCGTAATGGATAAACTCTGGAGGCTGATTCTAGACACAATTTTCAACAAACAAGTTCATTTAATGCATGGGCCGATTCCAAACGGAAAAGGAGTTAAGACCAATTTTATTGTTTTTTAAGGAGGACGTGGTTTTTATTGAATGAGAAGGAATTGCTTAAAATGCTGTTCAAGATAATTAAATTCTAAGTGCATCATTGTAAAGTAGACAACATTTTATCGGGAAAACAGTGATTACATCTACTGAAATCAATGACAAAAGGAACTTCAGGGGATCTAATATGGCCGCAGTTACAGTTCCCACCGAAATTTTAATATTCATCTTGAAGATATAGCCACTTGTATAATACCTGTTACTGTCATCACTATAATACATGCATACTACATATTTGCCACAATTAGGGAAAAACATAACAGTTTCAGCCAGTCTTGAATTGTACATTATTCATAAATGACATTAAAAAAATATCAAAACTTGAAAACCGTTGCTCCTGTGTTCTTAAATAACTGGATATTATTTTCAATGGATATGAAAAGGAAATAAGAAGTGATTTAGTTTGATTAAAAAATATGAATGGTCTTAGCAATATAATTTGCTTACCTTCAGATCTCTAATAATAAAAAATAAAGTTTATCTTGTAATACGTAATTGAAAAATTGAATTAATTTCCAATTCCTAATAACAGTTACACAACTTAAAATTAATTTCTAGCGCTCTTTGAGGAGGTATTACTATTAATACAAAGAGCAAATAAATTAGAACCATCCACTTTTTCCAAACTTAAATAATTATTTCAAAAGCAAAGAGGTATTTGGCACTTCCAAAGAGGAAAAGAATTACAGAGAAGCCTCAGCTCCTTCATGCCACTACCCCCACTCTTCACTAATTCACTCCTGGAAACTGTTTACTGTAATTGAAATACTATTTGGAATTCAATCACTACTTCAGTTAATCATTTGACATCCACTGAAGTAGTGATTAAATTCTTTGGTATTCGTATTCAACAGTTCAGTATTTTAGTAAAATACTTGGAACTCAATACTCATGAGTAGTGTGTTTGTCCTCAGTAAACATAATTGAAAATCAGTCATCCTATTCTTTCTTATTTAAAGGTGTACGATTATAACCTATAGTTTATAGTAGTATCACTTTAGAAAATAAACCATCTATTGATTTTTGAAAAAAAAAATCAGGTGCTGTGCGCGCATCTCACAACTTTCACTTACCACCTTTTTCTTAGCGAAAATTATAATTTTAAAACAAAGGAAAGTAAAAATAAAAAATTAGATGGTACGAAATATTATTTAAAACAATTAATTACCATATGCTTTCCATAGCCATTTAAATTATTATATTTATTTTTTTCGTTAATAACCACTTCCTTTTACGACTGTATATTTTAATTACTTACTTGATTATAATAAATAATTAAGCGCCACTTAATATTTTTAGTCCGACAAGAATGCCACTGATAAATAGGACCGCTGTATTTATTTATATTTCATTGTGGATATTTTTATTTGTTCAAGCATTGGTAAATATAAAAATTTTCATTTTTAAATTGCTGTGATCTTTACAATTAAATAATAAGAACGCTAGCATTTACGAAAACCGCCTATAATATCATCGGAGCTCATATTATATTAAGCAAGTGTTACGTGCGGAAGGCTATTTCAATCTTTCGGCGGAGCTCGAGTTTTCTCTAGTGATACGCAAAACTGTTTATCATGAGAGCAGTTGCAACAGTTTCTGACAAAAGACAGTTTTTAAAAAACCAGATACAAATGTTTCAAAACTTAAAGAGTAAAAAAAAAAAAAAAACTTTTTTTCTGTTAACCATTATACTATTTTAAACGCTCGATTTAATCCCGTATCATAAAACATTTAAAAGACAATAAGTAAATTTATTGATGAAAATAACGATAACATAGTAATTAGATAGAAAACGAATTGTTAAAACTGACCATTGGACAGAAACTGCATAGCTCTTTATAAGTTGCAACAGTGCTATAGTCTGTGTTTCACTTAAACAGCTATCAAAACAGTTTAAAGTACAGCGGAGCTGAATCTGTTTTAGAAAACTGTTTACGTATCTGATGCAAGAAGCTGTTTAATGAAACAGGTTTCTGTATCACTTTAAATCAAAAGATTCAGTGTTTCGCTCTTTTCCTGTTCGCTGTCTCCAGCTACTAAACCTGTACTGCGAGATGTTAGGGTAGGTTCTTAAACTCATCGCTGGCATTGTTTCCCTCAGTTTAGAGATTTATTCGATGTCATCAATAAGTTCAGCGCTGATTATAAGAACCTGCCCCTTCCTAATGGAAGGTAATACTTGTATCTGTTTAATCTCCAGTGAAATAGTTTAATGAATGAAATTGTTTAAATTAAACAGATTGCTACTAAAGATCCCCACTAGTTTCCTCTATTAATGCTGTTATCTGTTACGATCCCTTACTTCTTTAGTTTTTTTTTTTTTGCACTTACATATATTTATCCGCACCTGTCAATTATAACTATCTCCTTTAGCTAATTATCAAATTATTTAACCACTTTTTGTACCGGGTTACAATGCAAAATGGATAATCTTTTCAAATAAAAAAAAATAAAGGTTCTTAAGGGGAAGACATTTTGAAAATTAGGCATTTAAGCCCTGTAAGAGAAAATCAATGAGAATAAGAACTATATTATATTTAAAAACTGCTTAATTTTATACGGATATAATGAGTTTGATCAAAATCGTTATTTGTTTTTGAAAAAAAATCGTAAACATATGTTGAACCGATGATATAAATCGTTTGAAGTGACACGAAAAAACTGCTGTAATATAGACCTTAAATAAGCGATTTCACTTTCGTACGACTTTTCGTTTTTGAGCGAGACTGTTAACATTCATAGACAGACCATTTTGCAAAACTTAGTTATTTGGACTCAGAGGGCCTAACATCAAACTTTCACGAACGCAATACTTTACCTTACTTCATATTTCATATATAGGCAAGTGAAAGTAATACAACAAAAAAAAAATCAGCACTTTTATTTAAAAAATAAATAAATAAAAAGAACATGAATTGGTGTAATAAGTTTAAACGAAATAACAATAAAGGTACAATCATTTCATTGCTCTTGAAATTTATGAATTTGGGAGAGAACTTTCTATGTGGTGTATACTTAATTACAAAATAAATTTGATCATACTAAATATTTTAATTTAGATACTAACATACATTTTACTTATCATGTAGAAATAATGAGTAAAAGGTCTTCATATTATTACCTCTTAATTATGTATTTGCCCCTTTTTTTTGATTGGCCACCCATTTTTGAAAGAACTTAGCTGTTTTTATTATTTCACTTTTTTTTTAAATGGGCTATCGCATGTTCACACCACTGCGAGTTTTCCGGCAACCAGATAATCTAAGATATGAGAGATTAAAAAAGTACGAGTTCGAGTTCGCGTCCCGGTGCCGAATTTTAATATTCCCCGCCCTCCCACCCAGACTGGGGAAAACCGGTATAGCCTAAAAGGCGATGTAGAGAAGAACAGAAAAAATAAATAAATAACAAATAAAATTCTTTTATAATTGCAGATTTCATGTTTTAGTTAATTTTCCACTCTTTTAGGGATTAGCTGGAACCATTAAAGTTTGGAACAGTTTCTGTTTAGGGAACACAACAAAGTTCCTATTTAATTTAATTTAAACTAGATGAAAAGGCAAGCAGCACTGCTGCCATCTCTTGGCAGATAAGAGGAGCAAACAATACTGAGTCTAGACATGTGGGGCTTCTGCAAGATCAATGTCTACTCTAAGACAGGAGACCGAGCTGGCCAGCAATCATTACCATTCGAACCATACTTTATCAGAAGAAAAATGGAGTAGATGCTCTAGCGGTATAGAAAGGGGCCTGGTGACTAGAGAAGAGAAAAGGAGGAGCACCAGAATGCAGCCTGTACCCAGCAATTCATTTTCAGCCACTATCCACTATCCA